CTGCACCAGGGCAGGTTTAGATGGAGCTGAGGAACAATTCCTGCCCCAGAGGGTGCCAGGCATTGGAACAGGCTGCCCAGGGCAGGGCTGCAGTCACCGTCCCTGCAAGTGTTCACACAGCGTGGAGACGAGGCCTCAGTGCCATGGGTCAGTGGTGGCCTTGGCAGGGCTGGGAACGGTTGGACTGGATGAGCTTAAAGGGCTTTTCCATGATTCTCTGAAAGGAAAGGGCAGGAAGTCCTCCAGAGAGAGGGGTGTGAAGTTGTCCAGCACACGGTGCAGATGTTTGGAAACAGCATCTCTGTTGTTGGCTTTGGTGTTAGTGAAAGGCAAGATCCTCTTCTCCTGGAGCTTGGAGGTGGGGAGCGGCCACACTTTCCCAGCTTCCATCTTTTTCCGGTCTGGAAGTCCTCCCCAAGTTGCAGGGCAGGGGGGATTTCTGCTGGGAGATGCGGAATTTCCCAAGCCACCTGTTTATCACAGTCCCCAGGGGCTTCATCCTTGCACTCTGCTTCCTTTCCAGGCTCTAGGCTCCCATCCAGCTCTCTGTTTATCTACTGTCCCTTCTTGGACTGTGTATTCCCCATTGCAGATTCGCTTTCTGCCTCAGTCACGTACTTGTGAACTTGGGCAGGAGCCTCATAGAATGCCCAGAAAGGGAGGAGAGGCGTGCTGGGAGCTCATGCAGCTTGGTGCTGGGATAGCTCTTGGTTTACACTGAGGAGCTGTCCCTGGAGCAGGGAGCTCCCTGTGCCTGCCTCACCTTTCCGGGTCTGGGATGCTCTTTCAGACCCATTACTTGGGGTTGTGCCATCATCACAAGTGGGCACGCGCTCTCCTGCAACGCTGAGGCCTGGGGAGCTTGAAGCCACCTGAGCATCTCGAGCAGAGTCCTCGTGGCTTCAGCTCTGCTCTAGTGTGGGAGCTGTTTGCCAGGTGCTTCTTTGCCCACACTTGGCTCTGTCGTGGTTCTTTGGTTGTCGGGGTGTGAGGTACCCCCTGAACCGAAACAGAGCAGTGTAGCCCGTGTGCTGAGGTGGGACTGTGCTCATGTGTGCCGTGTCCTGTACCTCGTGCTGCTGGGCCAAGGATCTCTATGGACACAGTGTCCATAAGGACACACAAAGGAGAAGTGTTTCCCTTCTCAGCACCCAAAGTGTGTGGGGTCTGAGGAAGGTTACAGACCCACACCAGACCTGTGCACAGCAGTCGAGCCTGGGGAAAGAGCTGCCTTCATCTCCTGAGTTTTAATTTCTTACAAGACAAGGAAGTGTTTTGTGAGCCATAAATGCTGCTGTAAGGGGATCTGTAGCTGGCTTTGCTGGAGCTTTAGCAGCTTATCTTCAGAAAGAAGTAATATCCACCTAATGCTTTCAATAAAGAGTGTACCTGAGGCCGTGTCTTTAGCCTCCCTTTTCCAGATGCCCCTGGGAGGCAGGGTTACCGGTGACTGCTGTGTTAGTGCTGCTTGTGCTTCCCTCTGGAGCTGGGCTTGTGCTGAGAACTGGGTGAATTGTTGCTCTGAGTACGTGAAGCAGAGAGGAGGAACGGAGGCAGCGAAGGCCTGAAAACAAACCACTTGTGCAAGTGTGCAAAGCCTGTGCAAGAAAATGCATCACACCGCAGCAGCTTGGACTGCTCCAGGAGAGCCTGGGCGAAGGCTCCAGAGCTTGGCTTTGTTGGGGTTGAGTCAATTTAAACCACAAGAGGGGAGACTGAGATGAGCTCTGAGGCAGAAGCTCTTCCCTGGGAGGGTGCTGAGGCGCTGGCACAGGGTGCCCAGAGAAGCTGTGGCTGCCCCATCCCTGGCAGTGTTCGAGGCCAGGTTGGACACAGGGGCTTGGAGCAAGTGGAAGGGGTCCCTGCCCATGGCAGGGGTTGGGACTGGATGAGCTTTAAGGTCCCTTCCAACCTGAAGCATTCCATGAATTTGGGAAGAGGCAAAAGTGATGCTGCTGGGTGCCGTATGTCCTGGGAACCGTCTGCCTTTGGGTGAATCATGGCTCTTGCACTGGCTCCGAGGGAGCCTGTGGAGCAGAAAATGAGGTAGAGCCATCCATAATGTCCCACTTGGAAGCAGGAGCCGAGTCGAGCCCATGGCTGCACTGAAAGGCAAGGTAATGTTTATTTCATCTTAACTGCAGGCTTCTCTCGGAGCTGCTGTCTGGGCCTTTGGGGGGTTTAGCTGCTTCTTTCTTCTCTTGCTGTGTGGCAGGAGGTCTTATGATGTGGTTAGTCTTGAGGTGCTATTTAGCTCCACATCAGTGGGCTTATTCCTTGCCTGGAGACATGTAATGTGTCAGGTTACTGACATATCTCCTTGTGAAGGGGAAGAGCAAGCCTCACGGGCATCTGCTTTCAGCAAGAAACAATACTGCTTTTCTTCTGAAAGCATAGCATCAACATGGGGAGAAGAGGAACTGGTGTGGGATTAGCCCTGCTGAAGGAAGGGCTGGCCAGCTCGTGCTCCGGCTCAGTCCCTGCCTGAAGGAGCTCATAGACCCAGCACCTCCTGTGACCCGTAGCTGTGCTCTGGAAATAGTGCCTCTGCTGCAGGCAGGATTCATCCTCAAAACCCGTGGTACCTTTAACTTGGGCGGGGGCACATCCCAAAGTTAGAGCAGATGAAGCTGGTGGTGGCTCAAAAACATCCCTGCCCAGTGAGGATAATAACATGGAGCCTTCAAAAGTGGGATGAAATGACATGGTCTCGTGTGAGGTGTCCCTGCCCGTGGCAGGGGGTTGGAATTGGGTGATCTTAAGGTCCTTTCTAACCCACAGCAGTCTGGGATTCTGTGAAACACAGCACTTACAGCTTGGCCTCCCAAATATCACAGATCCCAGGCTGGAGGACGGAGAAGGGTCTCCCTGAAGGAGCAGGCTTCAAAACCCAGCCCCTGAGACCTCAGAAAGGCAGAGCTGCTCTCAGCGTGCCACCGCTGCGGTGCTTCATCCTAGGCATGCTTCTCTGTGCAGCTTAACCTGGAGCCTGGCCCTGCTTGTCGCTGCAGGCAGCTCTGCCTCCTCATGCAGCCACCCCGGTGAGCCCCATCTGCCAACAGAGCTGCAGCTCTGACACTGCAGTGGCTGCAGATGTCATCTCAGAGGCAAGACACTGGCTGTAAGGCCTTGAGCTGCCCTGCCACCCTGCAGGCATTTCTAGGCCTTTTAGACTATAAGGCCTTTTAGTGGAGGCTTTTAAACTGCAGCTTCTGCTCTCTGAGCATCCCCTTTGGGGAAGAGAAAGCAGGAGGGGTGATGACCTCTTCCCAAAGGTACTTTCTCATGCACCATTTCCACCCTCTGTGGCTGTGAGGGGCTGCCTGAAAGGCCAGGGGGGGACAACCCACGCTGGAAATATGCTCTTGTGTGCAGTGTTCGAAGATTGAGCCCCCCCCATCCCCTGCCAGAAAGGGTTACCCAGCCCCATCAGTGCTCACTCCCCTCAGTACCCCCATAATGTCCCTCCTGTCATCTTCCATGGTCTCGATCTAGATCCTGAGCTCAGAGAGGGGCACTGAACTGCCTGCTCCTCGTCCTGCTTGTGGGGTGGAGAGGTGCCTCTTGCTGCATCAGCTGCCTGATGGGCTCTGCCAGAGCTGCTGCACTGGGGTCTTCTCCTAACCCAGAATAGCTTCATTTAACAGGGCTTTTCCCTTTATTATATAAACTAACCTGACTTTAAAACTGATCTGAATGCCTTTTAGGGGAAAATCAGGATACCAGTTAAAGCCCAGTATAGCTATTTTTTGGTCTTTTATTGTGCTGCTGCCTTTTCTTGTGCATATGGAGATGCAGATGGGCTCTGGTTTGCATGGCTTAAAGGCACGTGAAGTGACTGTCCTGCTCCTAAGGAAGTGATACGGTATCTATACAGTTTCTTACTCGGGAATTTCCAACTTATGCAGCTCATTTAAATTGCAGGGGGTAGGGGGTTGCTGGTGACCACAGGACTTTCTTAGACCTGACAGTTGTGATGCAATATAAAGGGCTCTTTGTTTGCCTAAACCTTGGGAATTCAGCGTTTGAAAGGCGTGTTTCCGAGGGGCTCCGTGAAGTTTGTTGCAGAGGCTGCTGCTAAAGCAGCTTCCAAAAGAAAAACGTGGATATTGTCCTGCAGAGCAGCAGAATGAACCGGGCCAGCCTGGGGCTGTAGGTGCAGCAGGGACGGATCCGCTCCCTGCTCCAACTTCAGAGCAGCCAGGAGCAATGGAGAAGGAAACGAAAAGGCGATGCTGGGGGTGCCACCAGGCAGCTTCTGGCCCTCCTTGTGCAGCAGCGGGGAGCGGTCTTGCAGGAGAAGAGGCAGAAACACCACGACAGAGCCTGTGGAGGGGAATGATCAGCGTTTGGGAAAACACTGGCAGCTCCCTGGGCCGGACTCGGTGCCAGACAGGAAGCCGGTGACGTGGAAGTGTCTCGCCGGGATCATGAATGGCCAGGCGTGCGCGCTCAGTCTCCGCTCCGTGCCCTGCCCCGGCTGAGGTAAGCACAGGCACAGACCTTTGTGCCTCCTATCATGAGACAAGCCCAAAGAGCAGCCAAAGGCCTCGTCCCGTGGAGGTGAGCTGCCTTGGGTGTTGCCAGACTGGCTCCAAAGGCGCAGAACCTGCCTGCCGTTTGTGCCGCTCCGGCCCTGCTGGCTGTCGTTGCTCTGAGCCTTGCTGTCCGCGTTAAAATCTCTCCTTTGATCGTAGAAAACCAGGATCAGCTCGTCAGAAACAGCACAGAGCGGCTGTGGGAAGGTATTTGTGAAAGGAGGGTGGGGAATTATGGAAAAAGGTGTCCATCTTTGCTGGGTTTTTTCTGTTTCGAAGCCACTTTTTGGGTGTGCTCTGTACGTTTGTTTTTCTCGTGAAGCCCTCGATGCAGCTGATAGATTGTGGCCGCTTTATCAAACCAGCATGGGTGGGTTTGTGTCCTGTATTGGAAGCGATGGTGTTAGCCGTGAAAACCGCGCTGGGAGGGAGGTGGAGGCTCGTTGCTCCCTTCTCCCTTCAGTGGGGACGGGGTGGCTGCACGAGCTCATCACCGCGGGCTGCAATTAGAAGCAGGATGTTCAGGCTGGGCTCGGTGCGAGTGCCCAGCAGCAGCCCCATGTTGGTGTCATCTCCCCGGGCAGCAGCATGGCTTCCCTAAAAGGAAACCAGAGACACCCTTTCCCCGGAGAGCTCACTGGGGTTTGCTCAAGGGCTTTCTGAGCAGCACCGTGGCAGGATGTGAGCCCAGCGCTGGGGTCACTGGGAGGGAAGTGGCTTGTGTCTGACCCCTCCCCAGCCTGCAGGAGCCTTTGGATTGCAGCTGCGTGGGGAACGGGACTTGGGTTTTTTTCCCCTCTGTTGAAAAAGGAAGCTCTTTGCCTCCGTGCCTACGAGCACACGTTGCAGAGACGGGCTGAGCAACTGCAAGAGTCATCTGCCGGGGCTTGAAGCGCAGGTAGGAGCTTGCTGACGTGCTGGTTTTGGTGCCTGGCTGATGTTCAACCCCTGCACGGTGTTAGTGGTGAGGGGTGTTGTTCAGGCAGGCTCTGACGGAGCAGTCATGGGACTCCTGGAAGAGGGTTTCGAGCCGTCCCGCTGCTGCGGGGGGGTTAGGATCCGGTGGGAATGCTGCTCGCTCCTGGAAAGCCTCGGGATGGCTGCAGCGTGTTGCAAGGGAAGAGGCAGTTCCAAATGGTTTAGAAGAGGTGACTGTCTTTCATGTTTTTATACCCTCTCTCTGCATGTAAAAGTAACCAAGAGACAGGGAACCGACCCCTCCGGCTTCCTCTACCCAGAGCTTGGTTTAACGTGAGCCTAGCTTGGATCTGCCATTCCCAGCTAGGGAAGAGGAGCAGCAGGGTGATTCCCACAGCCCTGCCCTGGCTTGCCATCAGCAGAAACCAGCGTTGGGACTGGAGCTGGGACTGCCCGGAGTTAGGAGAGAAAGTGAGCTTTTGGGGGAGGGAAGAGGGGACTCAGCCTGGGCTGGCAAGTTTCCTCCTTAACCAGCATAATTCCGAGCCATTCCTTGGTGTACTTGGGAAAGGAGGCTTGTTTGTGTTCTGGACAGCCGCAGTGTGGGGCTGTCTGTGGTGGTTGTGAGCTCGGAGGGGTGGCCAGGGTGCTCCTGGAGCACCGGTGACATGTGCTGTAATCTTGGCTGGCGGGAGGGGAGGAGTAACCAGAATGTGCTGCAGGTCAGTTTGGGAGGGGATTCTTCTGTTTTATCTCATCTTTGAAGCCTGCAAATACCACTCAGATGCCTTGCGTGTCCCATTTCCTAATTGTTCCTAACCTCTCCTTTCTCTTCTGTGCAAAGGCAGCATCCCAGTGCTGCCCAAGCTGTGAGTCCTGCCTGTGGAAGTAGGTGTTGTACGTGTGATATCATCTTCAAGCAATGTCAGGGATGCGTTTGGTCTCTGCGTCTTCTTTCTTTCTTTTTTTTTTTTTCCTTCCTTTTTTCCTAGAGCTAAGTGTTTCTTTTAGCTCAGTTGCTGTCAAAAACCATAATTAAATAGGTTGCATCTGCTTGAAGTCTCAGCTACTCATTTTGCTAATGCCTTCAGACAGATGCTGAGTCGTCTGAGAGACAATTGCTGCTGCGTCGAGCTCCCCGCTTCTCATGGGTGATGTCTCTGTAGAAAGAGGAAGTTGTTTGTAGGATGAATACAGCCTCGGCACCAAATAAACCCTACTCAAAGTCCCTCCACCCTGCTCAAATGGCAGTTTCTTCTGGACTATGGTCAGTGGTTGCTTCTTGATGTGCAGTCACTGGCCAGCACCGATGTGAGTGCGGTCACAGTGATCAGACAGGAAATAGGTAGGAACAGTCGTACCATGCCAGGGATGCTGTGGGAGCTCTGTGTAGGGCGATGCTCCCGCTCCTTGATGGCTTCTTTGTTTGAAAGGACATTTCTCCATCTCCAGCATAAGGAAACCATCGCGTGTGAGTGTTCTCTGGGACTGATTTCCTGCTGGAACCGCCTGCAGACTCAGCACCTGCTCTCCACATTGCCGGTGACTCGAGGCTGATCCACCCTTTGCTCCGGACGTGGCACCGTGGCCGGGTGGGTGCAGTCCCCGAGTGCTGCAGGATGTGGTGAGGCTGTGACACAGCTCCGGGTAACCAGAGCTCTTGTCTGTGCTCAGATGTCGCTCTGTGCAGTTCACGACTTCCTCTAACCATGTCTGTGGTGTGACCAAGCGCCTCCTAAAGACACGTTATGGGGGGATATCCTGTGGTGTCCCTCAGGGCTCGGTGTTAGGGCCATTGTTGTTTGATATCTTCGTTAATGATCTGGATGTGGGGATCAAGGGCACCCTCAGTAAATTTGCAGGCCACACCAAGTTGGCTGGGAGTGTTGATCTGCTGGAGGATAGAAAGGCTCTGCAGGGGGATCTGGACAGGCTGGATCCATGGGCTGTGGCCAGTGGGATGAGGTTCAGCAAGGCAAGGTGCTGGGTCCTGCATTTGGGCCACATCAACCCCCTGCAAGGTTCCAGGCTTGGGGAAGGGTGGCTGGAAAGTTTTTCATGGGAAAAGGAGCTGGGGGTTCTGGTTGATGGAGCTGAACATGAGCAGCTTGTGCCCAGGCAGCCAGGAAGCCCCCAGCATCCTGGCCTGGATCAGCACCAGTGCGGCAGCAGGGCCAGGGCAGGGATTGTGCCCCTGTGCTGGGCACTGGTGAGGCTGCACCTCGAATCCTGTGTTCGGTTCTGGGGCCCTCACTGCAAGAGAGACATTGAGGTGCTGGAGTGGGGCAGAGAAGGGCAGCGGAGCTGGTGCAGGGCCTGGAGCCCAAGTGTGATGGGGAACGGCTGAGGGACCTGGGGGGTTCAGATGGAGAAGAGAAGGCTCAGGGGGGACCTGATGGCTCCCTACAAGTGCCTGACAGGAGGCTGGAGCCAGGAGGGGCTGGGCTCTGCTCCCAAGGAACAAGGGATGGGACAAGAGGAAACGGCCTCAAGCTGCACCAGGGCAGGTTTAGATGGAGCTGAGGAACAATTCCTGCCCCAGAGGGTGCTCAGGCATTGGAACAGGCTGCCCAGGGCAGGGCTGCAGCCACCGTCCCTGCAAGTGTTCGCACCCCGTGGAGACGAGGCCTCAGTGCCATGGGTCAGTGGTGGCCTTTGCAGTGCTGGGCACGGTTGGATTTGATGCTCTTAAAGGCCTTTTCCAACCTGTCTGACTCTGTGGGTCTGTGATTTTCTTTCTTTCTTTGACTCCCCCACAGCAGCTGAGGGGGTCACAGCAGTTCTGGACACAGTGGAGCCACGTGTGCTGTGGATTTACCTTCCTGCCCAGGGTGGCTCTCACTGGGCCACATTCAAATGCCTTTTCAGTTTCTCCCAACGCATGTTGTGGCCCATGTTGCAACAGGAGGTTGGATCTCTCCGCTTCTCCACAGAAGAGGTGACTGAGCCCGTTCCCACAGGAAAAGCAGCACTTGGGAATGTTGAGTCTGGTCCTAACGGGACAAACTGAAGTGGTTTGGGTTTTCCGCCTTGCTCTGAGAAAACAAGAGGCCTTGGTTTAAGTCTTTGTAATCTTTCTCCGGAGAAGAGATGCTGATTAGCACTGCACAGCATCTGTTAGGGATGGGCTGAACTGTGGCAGCTGTAGTGTTGACCTTGAATTTGGAATTCTCTTGGCAGCATATGAGGAAACTATTTACATATTCAAGCAAACTGTGGCTTCATAGAAATATGGGGAGATTTCTGCTTGGTGAAAGGGATTCGTTTGCTTGCTTTCTTCTAAAACTCATGGAAATTCTTACTTGCCAGATTCCATAAGGCATCAGCTTTATTTAATTTCTGTTACTTTACTTATTCCTCTGCCCAGCACATGTAAAATAATATTCTTGGTGCGCATAGTTTTCTGCCTTAAGCTTCCATCAAAGACCAGCTTGACACAAATTATACAAGGGGATGGATGTGGGAACAAAGGAGGTATAATTAGCTACAGATAAACAGAGCTGTGTTTCTCGTCAGCATCCTTTTAGATCTCAACTTGTGTCTCACCCTCTCAGAGCTAATTCTTTTCCACAGACTGAAAGAGGAAGGCGAGCTTTCAACCAGCCTTCACCTTGCCGTGAGCTCAGCTGAAATGAAAAGTGGTTATGGTCTGCCTGCACCGGGAGAAGAGGCTGTGGCTGCTCTTAGAGCTCGTGGTGTTCCAGGATATTCTCTTTCCGGGTGTCTGAGCTCTGACTTCTTCTTCCTCTTCTTTTCTTTCTTGTTCCCCTCCACCCTTTCATGCCCTGTCTTTAGCACCACAACAGCGCACACATCTCCTGCTCAAGCAGTGGCTTTGTTGGACTGTGTCTGTCAACAGATCTGAGCTCCAGTTGGCTTGCCATAACATTACCTTTTAGGTGGGCTTGTTTCCGAAGTGGGGGAGCAGAGGTGAAAAATCTGATCCAGGAAAACCCAGCTTGTTTCACCCTTCTGAACTCTTTGGTGTATTGGAGCTGAGTAGGTGGTGGTGTTTCTCATTGCTTCTGTAGGGTTTGGGTCTCAATGGGGTGAATTGCAGCCACAGCTCTTCCCTATGGGGCTGGTTTCCTCATCCCCACACCGGGTGTGTAGGGAGACCTTGCAGGGGCGACTCTTGGCACCTCTGATGGCCGAGCTGCCGCTCTGCTGCAAGCTATGCTCTACAGAGAAGGGGGAGGAAAGAAACCTGGCATTGGCTTCCCCCCCTTCTCAGATGTGGGGCGAGGGCCCAGATGGCATCCCAGATCTCTGCCTGTGGGATTTACACAAGGTTTCCTGTTGAGAGAGCTGCTCCTAATCGCTGCCCTTCTGTGCTGCGTTGCAGATCAGGACCAGATGAACAGAGGAAGGTTTCTGTGAAGATCAGAAGCCCTGCCCCAGCCCTGCCCCGGGAAGTGGCCCAGCAGCGCTGCGTCTCCGCCTGTCATCGCTACGGACCTGGAAAAGAAAGAAGTAGAGGAGAAAAATGTCCCATGCTTTAAAGCAAGTGTTCAATAAAGACAAAACCTTCCGGCCCAAGCGCAAGTTTGAGCCGGGGACTCAGCGGTTTGAGCTGCACAAGAAGGCTCAGGCCTCCCTCAATGCTGGCCTGGACTTGAAAGTTGCCGTCCAGCTGCCACCAGGAGAGGAGCAGAACGACTGGGTGGCCGTGCACGTGGTGGACTTCTTCAACCGCATCAACCTGATCTACGGCACCATCAGTGACTATTGCACAGAGCAGTCCTGCCCTGTCATGTCGGGGGGACCCAAGTACGAGTACCGGTGGCAGGACGAGCACAAGTACCGGAAACCCACAGCCCTCTCTGCTCCCCAGTACATGAACCTCCTGATGGACTGGATTGAGGTACAGATCAACAACGAGGACATCTTCCCCACTAATGTCGGTGAGTTCAGTTCTAGCTGTGGCTGGGAGGAGGGAGGTCGGTGCAGAGCCTTCTCCTTTGAGCCCTCGGGTCCCCTTTCTAGAATCATGGAATCACAGACTGGTTTGGTTTGGAGCTCCAATCCCCTGCCACAGGCAGGGATACCTTCCACTAGACCAGGTTGCTCCAAGCCCCATCCAACTTGGCTAGGAGATCTATTCCAGGAGATGCTGTTGCACAGGCCAGCCTTGTAGCAGAGCTATTTCCTCTCGTGCTGCTCAGAGCCTGGCAGTGCAGTGAGCTCTTCTGAGCACCCAAAAAACTTCAGAGCTCTTCTGGAGTGCTAAAACACCCAGAGCTGTATCAGATCCCGTTTGGAGCCATGGATACCTCAAGTAAAGCCAAGCTGTGCCTAAGCAGTGAAAACAAGAGTGCTCTTAGAACAGTCTCTGCCCTGACTCTTGAGCCGTGGTCTCCTGAAGGCCAGCTCTCTGAGAGCTGATTGCCAGGCTGGGCTCCACGTGCGTGCTCTGCGTCGGCCGGGTGATGGTGGCCACGTTGCCATAATGAGGCTCTTTGTCATTCCAGGCTGGCTGTGGCTGACTCTGCCCTTTCAAGCTCAGTGCTTCCTGGCGTGTGCTCGGCTGTTGGTTGCAGCTGGAGGGGTGCTGACACGCGCATGGAGGGAGGGGCAGTGTTTCATCTATTGCCAGGGTGATGGAAAAGAGAATTTGGGCTAAGACACCTAAATCTGCGTACCCAAACGCAGCTTCGTGTGCTGGCTTTGGGACAAAGAGGCTTGGGGGGGTTTGTTTATTTTGTGTTGATGGGAGAATTCAGTATCTAAGGCATTAAGTAAATATGATTCATCCCATTCAGAGCTCCCATCTTCTGGGATGCAAAAGACAAGATGCAGCAGAGCTCCCACCCTCCTGCCCCAGCATTTATCCCATGGTGGGATGCAGTTGGTCTCTGTGTGGGACACATCTGCCATACAAGTGTCCACAGGGCTATTCCATACATGCCAAAATGCTGCTCAAACCTGGTGCTGAGCAGGCAGAGGGGAGAGCAAGGCCACAGACTCCTTCAGACAGCTGAGACACTGAAATCCTCCCCCTGTTCCTCCTGTTGCCCGCACAACGGCTGCATTGCCTTTAGCTAGGACTCTCCTGCGAGTCTCTCTGGGGACTACAAGCAGGGTGTTTGTTCTGCTCAGGGAGGCAAGACAGGTTTCCCACAGCAGGAGGGTTGTGGTTTGGAGGAGTTTTTAACTGTAATTGTTGTTGTCAGCTCGCTTTTTACCAGATTCCTCACCCTCAGCACCAGCTGAAATGCTGCAGCTTTTGCAGAGCACTGAAGGGGTTTAAACTAATCCTTGTTCCTCCAGAAACAACCTGTGTGAACTTTAAACTGTGATGTATTGCCCTGGGATGGCTGGTGGGCCCTGGCTAAAGAAACCCCAAAGGACTGATCCCTTCAAAGAGACCTTAACATCTTTAATTTTTAACCAAAGAGCTAAAGACCCATCAAAATAAGAGAGAACTGTGAGGAGTTAACAGCCCTGACTCTTTCTTCTGGGGAGTTGTTTGGTCCCAGCTTGTGTTTTGTGTTCTCTAGATAAGCATGAGAAACAGGAGTAGAACAAAACTCTGTCGGACTGAAGTAGCTGCTGGGAATCTGGGAAGCTCCAAGGCCAGTTTCTTACAGCACTCAGTTGCTGAAATCTGTGCTTTGAAAAACCTGATCCAAGGCAAAAGGAGAAGGGAACTGGAAATTCATAGCATCCCAGCCTGGTTTGGGTTGGAAAGGACCTTAACATCACCCAGTTCCAACCCCCTGCCATGGGCAGGGACACCTTCCACTAGACCAGGTTACTCCAGCCTGGCCTTGAACGCTGCCAGGGATGGGGCAGCCGAATCCAGTGCCAGGGACAGAAGCCCTTTTGTCTCAGTCTCTCCGTTGTGTCAATTCATTTTAGCCCCAAGGAACCAGTTCTAACCTGACTGACAGTTTCTCCTGGTGATGTCTTCCCTCCCAGGTACTCCCTTCCCCAAGAACTTCCTCCCAGTGGTGAAGAAAATTCTCTCCAGGCTCTTCCGGGTCTTTGTCCATGTCTACATCCACCATTTCGACAGGATCACCCAGATGGGGTCGGAAGCCCACGTGAACACCTGCTACAAGCACTTTTACTACTTTGTGAAAGAGTTCAATCTGATAGACACCAAGGAGCTGGAGCCACTGGTGAGTGTCTGGGTGGGCTCAGGGGACACATTGGTCTGTCGGGGTCTGGGGCAGTGCAGAAGGGCTTGACTGGGGGTGGAGGAGTCACAGAGGCCTCCAGACCTTCAGTGGTCCCTTCCAACCCGTGCTGTTCTATGATTTTATATGAGGAGTGATGGTTTTAAACTAAAAGAGGGACATTCAGGCTGGACGTGAGGAAGATATTCTTTACAGTGAGGGTGGTAAAACACTGGCACAGGTTGCACAGAGAGGTGATGGATGCCCCATCCCTGGAGACATCCAGGCCAGGCTGGATGTGGTTCTGGGCGACCTGATCTAGGTGAAGATGTCCCTGCTCCTTGCAGGGTTGGTCTAGATGAGCTTTGAAGGTCCCTTCAGACCCAGACTAGTGTATGATTCTACCTTCTCAAAACCGGTTGCCCAAATTCAGGCCATCAGTTGGCCTTGCAGCTTGGCTGTCAGGAAGCCGGGAGTGAGGAGGAGCAGACACAGCTCAGCAGGGTAGTTTGGGTATGGGATGGGAGAAGTTGACTTGTTCTCCAGCAACCTCCTTGCGTTTCTAGCAGCTGGCTTGCCTTGTTTGTGTGAGCCTGACACTGTTGGCCATCCAGGACGGGGATGTGCTTCCTTCCCTGTGCTTGCTTCCCAAAAGCAAGGGCAACGCCAGCACCTTCACAAGGAGTCTGGAGGATGGAGAACATGACCTGGTAGACCCAGGAGGTGGTGATGGTGTTCCCAAAGCTGTTAGCAACAGAGCAAACCTGCAGAGCCACTGGGCAGTGGAAGGGTGTCCTGTGGTGCTGTTAATGGGAGCGGTGGGGGGAACGCAGACCTGCCCAAACCGGAGCTCTTGGGAAGTGTCACGGCGTGGCTGACTAACCAAAGGTGAGGTTTTGTCCTCCACGCCCTCCCTGTCAGTCTGGACCTTCCTTCATGGGCCCTTGTCTTTTCTGTGCCTTTGACAGAAGGAAATGACCTCCCGGATGTGCCACTGAGCTCAGACCTTCCTGCTCCCACCGAGGACTCTGAGTCCCGCTCCTGCATGGGAGATGCGATTCAAGGGGAGAACAGAGACATTTTGTTAACAAATCTATATATTTTTAATGAGTTTCAATGTCAAACTGTGATACTGCAGGAATATTTTTTTAAAGATGCTCTAGATAAACTAGTTTTTTATAGTAATTTCTATTAAAAAAAAAGAAGAAAATATTTGGGGCCGCTTGATGGGAATGCTCACTCTTGGAGGAGGGAAGAGCCACCCTGAGCTGCCTCCTCCTCATGCCCTCATGCAGCAGCAGCACCACGTGAGCCAAGCCAGATGCTTCAGATAGAGCCACGTCCTGTAGCTGGTGCTGCCGTGGAAGCGGTACTTCCCTCCAGACACCCAGTTCCCATGCATGAATGGTGTATGTGGGGTGGACGTGGATCCCCTGGGGTGCTGTTTGCTTCCAGCACCTCTTCCACTGGCTGCGAGTCCAGTTTTTGGACAGAGCTGCTTTTGTGCTCCCTCTCTGCCTGGCATCCCGTCCCCTCGTCGCTTTCCCTCAGTTGGATTTGGGTTTCTTCCATGGCAAGACCAGTGGTGCCGCTGCTCAGGGAGTGCTGCAGCTCTGCTGTTGTGTCTTACAGCAGCTCTGAGCTGAGCTTCTCCCCATGCCCAGCCCAGCCCAGGGATGCAGGCTGGCAGCCTCAGGCCAAGCAGACCTGTGCCTCATGGGGATGAGCAGAGGGAAGGCGCTGGGACAGGCATAGGGAGGTCTTCTTCTCAAAGACCTGCACTTACCATCTCCCTGCGGTACGCTGACCCTGCCCAGCGGAACTGAGCTGCCTGCACGTGGGCCATTCTCTGCTTCCCATTAGGGTACGGAGCCTTGTCCCTCTTCCCGAGCAGCACGTCCCCACTCGGCTGCACGCATCCCCTAACCAAAGGGTCTGGTGTGCAGCCAGAGCCCGCAAGCCTTGCACAAGCTGCTCTGCTGCGTGAGGGGAGCTTGGCAGTGCCCCCGAGGTAGGTAGGATTTTGGGGGAGTGGGGGCCAGGGTTTACAGGAAGAGAAAAGGTTTCTATGACCAGTGACCAAACTGCACCACTAACCGCTTCTTCCTTACAAGGTTTTCCTGTGTCCTGGAATCTCTGTACATACGTGACTATCATTAGGACACTCGTACAAATACCACTATAGTTCTCTGAAATGGAACCAATAAATTATGTTGTATTTACGTATCCCATTGCTGGATGTCTTGTGATTACTCGCTCGTCGGAGGCTTTCTCTCAGCAAAACAAACCCGATGTGTTTGGACTCCTCAGGAAGTACTGGGGAGCTGTTTCCTACAGTTCCTAAAGCTCCTGGCTCGGCTGCCCTAAGGTTTCATTCCTCCTGCTGTCACTTTGCCAGGTCTGGGCTGCTCCGGGCCCCACGCGTGTTCCCAGGGCTGTGGGGCAGAGCAGGAGGGTGCTGGAGCTCAGCCACCGGGCCAGGCTTGTCCTCACTTGTCTCTCTGCAGTGGTCCTGGACCCAATGGCTGAACTGTTCTGTTCTCCCAGCTCTAAAACCTGGCTGGCTGTGAGCCTGGGGGGTGAATTTGAGCTCACCAGCATGTTCAGAAGAGCCCTGGGCAGAGCTCTCGTGGTCGAAGCTCTGCATTCAGGGTCTGCAGGTGATGCTCCTGCCCAGAAGAGGAGTTAAGGGGCTCCACAGCTGCTGCTCCTGCCTGTACCAGCCCTGGTACAGACCATGCAGGTCCTGCCTGCTCCCCTGCATGGCAGAGGTGCCGGGGCCCCTCTCCCTGTGCTTTGTGGGTGCAGCTCAGCTGGAGCTGCATCCCCCTGGCTGGGTGCTGCTGCAGGGTGCAGCGTGGCTGCCCGGTGCTGTGCTCAGAGCCCCCATCAGAGCTGGGCCCCACTGCTGCGTGCGAGTGCAGCATCCGCAGCCCCTGGTGTGTGAGGCCGGATCCTGAGCACAAGCTGGGGTGGGCACAAAGCTGCAGGGACCCAGTGCTGGGGCTGCTGGGTGAGCAGTGCTGGCTCTGTGTGTGTGTGTGTGTGTGTGTGTGTGTGTGTGTCACTGCTCATCTGCTTCCCTTTCACACCACCTCAGTGAGCACCGTGTGCACCCATCCCACTGCCACCCTCGGGGCTGGGGGGCTGCCTTCCTCTGCCCCCCTTCCCCATTGGGAGAGGTCTGGCTGCTTTCACGTGAGACCGTCCCAAAGAGGGCAGGAGGAGCAATGGTGAGGAGCTCCCCATGTCTGGCCATGAGAGCTCGCAGCCCAAAACCCCCCATGTGCTGTGGGGCATCCTCAGAGCGTGAGCAGCAGCTTGAGGGAGGGGATCCTGCACCTCTGCTCTCCTGAGACCCCACTTGCAGCACTGGGTGCAGTGCTGGAGACCTCAACACAAGGACCTGGAGCTGGTGGAGCAAGTCCAGAGGAGGCCATGAGGATGCTCAGGGGCTGGAGCAGCTCCTGCATGGAGCCAGGCTGAGAACATTGGGGCTGTTCAGCCTGGAGAAGAGAAGCTACGTGGAGACTCAGAGCAGCTTCCAGTGTCTGAAGGGGGCTACAAGGATGCTGGAGAGGGGCTCTGCTTCAGGGACTGTAGGGATAGGACAAGGGGTGATGGGTTCAGACTGGAACAGGGGAAGTTCAGGTTGGAGATAAGGCAGAAGCTCTTCCCTGTGAGGGTGCTGAGGCGCTGGCACAGGGTGCCCAGAGAAGCTGTGGCTGCCCCATCCCTGGCAGTGTTCAAGGGCAGGTTGGACACAGGGGCTTGGAGCAAGCTGCTCCAGTGGAAGGGGTCCCTGCCCGTGGCAGGGCTTGGAGCTGGAGGAGCTTTCAGGTCCCTTCACCCCAACCCATTCCGTGATCCTATGGTTCTGTAAAGGCACCTTTATGGGGGAAGAGCCGCTGGGGCTGGAGGTGCTGCTGCCGAGCAGGACGCAGCAGCGAGGACGTTGCCCAGGCGGCTTTGCAGAACCCTCCCTCCCGTCTCTGCTGGTGCCTCCCGCTCCCTGCTCTCACCTCCCTGCGGGGCCTTTGTGTTGACTCTCCCCGAGCTGCAGGCACCGGCTGAGCCGGTTCCGCTGCGGCCGGACCCGTCGCTCCCCGCATCCCTCGTGTGCCCGGGCGCTCCCTGGGCGCAGACCGAGGGCTCACCAAGGCGCTGAGAGCCCCATAGAGAACACATTTGCCCATCTCCCGCAGTGCAGGGCCGGGCTGAGCGCGGTGCCCAGGGCTCCGCAGCCTCCCTCCCCTCTGCGGGGCTGACCCCATCCCAACAGCACAGATGGAATCAGCCCCGGAGCTGGAGCGGCCGCAGGAGCTCGGCCGCGGCGGGGGCTGCGGGGCCCTATGTTCATAGGGAAATGAATATCCCTGCTCTTCGGCTGGGAGCGGGCTCACGGCTGCTCCCGAGGATGGAGGGGCTTTGCCTGCGCTGGGTGTGGAGGAGCTTCAGGACCTCAGCTCCCGTTTGGGCTTGCTTTTACTTTCAGGATGTAAACCCTGTATTGAGGAGTCACAGAGGAACCAATCACGGAATCATGGAGCCCCAGCCCGGGTTGGGTTGAAGGGACCTTAAAGCTCCTCCAGCTCCAACCCCTGCCACGGGCAGGGACCCTTTCCACTGGAGCAGCTTGCTCCAAGCACCCCATCACCGCATGTGCCCACCCGTCCCTGGTCTGTGGCCATGTCCCACCACTGCCCCCAGCACAAGCTCTGCCCAAGATGTGGCTGCAAAGCCGGAGCTGGGAAACCCACACGGGTTTTCCCTCGGCCCCTTCCCTGCAGCAGACGGGGGTGAGGGATTGGAGCCACATCCCTGGGGATGCCCTGCAGTGGGGGGGGGGGGGGGGGGGGGCGGCAGCACTGGGGTTTTGGGGGGTGCTGCGCCCCCAAGACCCTGCCCGCTGCAGGGTCAGAGCTGCCCCAGTGCTGTGGGGCTGCCCAAATCCCCCTGGGGCAAGGAGGGAGGTTGGGGAACCACCGGCACAGGAGCCGGTGCAGCCGGGTGCCCACAGGAGCCTTGGATGTGTGAGTGCGCCCCGTGTGCCCCCCACAGCAGAACCAGCGCTGGGAGAGCCAAGGCTCCGGGTTCCGCCTGGCAGGAAACTCCCGGGGTTTGGGGAGGTTTTGCCATTTGAGATGGGGCCAGGGCTCCGGGCGCAGGGGGGGCAGAGCCGGGCCCGGGACAGAGCGCACGGGAAAAGGATTTGTGGTGGTTTCCTTCCCTCCTTCCAAACGGGAGCAGCCGGTCAGGGGGGAAGCCCTGCACCCCCATGGGCAGCCACCGTCCCGCTGCTCCTGCCTGCGAGGGCTGCCCCATGTCCTGGGGCTGGCTTTGGCTCCGCTCCCCCTGCTCCCACTCCAACAATAGCGGCCTTCCGGCACGGCCCCGCTCACTTTCCTGTTTGCCCTCAGCCGGTGCCGGTGTGAGGGGCTCCGTCGGCTCTTGGAGACCCCATCCTGGGGCACCCCAGGCGCAGGGACCGGAGCTCCCTGTGCGGGTTCCACAGTGGGTTTGCTGCCCGCAGCCCCCGGGATGTGATCAGACATTGGGGCCCTTCCATTGCCCCTTCCACAGGGAGGCCTGGGGGAGACTGAGATGAGCTCTTAGGCAGAAGCTCTTCCCTGGGAGGGTGCTGAGGCGCTGGCACAGGGTGCCCAGAGAAGCTGTGGCTGCCCCATCCCTGGCAGTGCTCAAGGGGAGGTTGGACACAGGGGCTTGGAGCAAGCTGCTCCAGTGGAAGGGGTCCCTGCCCGTGGCACTGGATGAGCTTTAAGGTCCCTTCAACCCAAACCATTCCGTGATTCCACGGGTTTATGAAAGCAGCCACAGGTGGGCCCCAAGGGGGATTTTTGCTGGACCCTGCATGCACCGAGGTGTGCGGGAGGGGAAGAGCCCCACGCATGGGACAGCACCGGCATGATCATGTGTGTGCGCGCATATGCATGTCTGCATGTGCATGCGTGTACAAGCCATCCCTTGAGCAACCGCATGGCCCCGCAGCAACGCACCTGGAATGGCTGCACCTGCATGTGTGTGCACACATGTGCTGGCTGCACACGCATGTAGGGTACCCCCTGCATCCTGCTTTGCCCTCGCGCACGTGTGTGTGTGCTCTTGTGCATGCCTGGGGAGCACACGGATGCTCGCTCCCCGCTCCCTCAGCCTGAGACCCAGTGCTCTCACCATGCCTGGCTGTGAAGAGCATGCAGTGAGCGTGCAGTGAGTGTGCAGTGAGCGTGCAGTGAGCGTGCAGAGAGCGTGCAGTGAGCGTGCAGAGTGTGCAGTGAGCATGCAGTGAGCGTGCAGTGAGCGTGCAGAGAGCGTGCAGAGAGCGTGCAGTGAGCGTGCAGAGTGTGCAGTGAGCATGCAGTGAGCGTGCAGTGAGCGTGCAGAGAGCGTGCAGTGAGCGTGCAGAGTGTGCAGTGAGCATGCAGTGAGCGTGCAGTGAGCGTGCAGTGAGCGTGCAGTGAGCGTGCAGAGCGTGCAGTGGGCGTGCAGTGAGCGTGCAGAAAGCACAGCAGCACACAGGGAGCGTGCGCCAGGCGTGCACCAAACATGCAGAGGTCACGCATGGTGCCATGCAGGTGCCATGACGCAGAGCACACGCGTTGCACATGCAGTGAGCACACAGCACACACGCAGTGAGTGCTCCAGCGCCGTGTGATGCCGGGGTCCCCCAGGCTGGGCAAGCTCTTGGCCACCCCTCGGTGTCCGTGCCGCCGCGGGCACCCCTGGCTGTCCCCCGGGGGCTGTGGGTGCCGGCGCTGCCGCCCTGTCATTACCGCGGTGACCTACATGGCAGCGTGCGCAATTTGGGAGGCATCCGGATGCTCCGGAGTCACCCGCGGGGGCCAGCGCGCCCCACGGCACCGTCCCTGTCCCTTGTCCATCCCTGACCATGGGAGCCAAAACCCTGCCACCCCCCCCGGCCCCCCCCATCCGTGCTCACTGGGGAGGCCTCAGCAGGAGCCTGGAAAAGCAGGAATTTGGTTGGATTCGGATGGGATCGGGTGCGCGGGGAGGGGGTTTGGTTCCCCCCCCCCCCCCCCCCGCAATGTCTCTGTGGGGCTGTGAGTCCTGCGCTGGAACATCCCCAAAGAGGGGGGCAGGAGCAGTTGGGGGGGGGGGGGGGGGGGCTGTGACGTGGGGTGCAGTCAGCGCCTGCGACGGCGTCGGGGCCGCAGCCAATGCGCGGCGCGGGCGGTGAAGTCATGGACCGCGGTGCCGCCGCCATTGGCCCCGCGCAGCCCCACGGGCGCGTCTGTGCTCAGCCCCACGGCGTCACGCGAGGTGTGGGGAGGGGACTCGGGATGAACCCGCTATGGGGAGGGGAAGGGGGGTCCTGTCCGGTGCTGGGTGCATCCCGCAGGGCCTGCAGGCACAGAGGGATGTGACCCGGGGTCCTGCTGCCCCCGCCCCCCCATCCTTGGACGTGGGGCTGAGCATGGCCCCACTCGTGCCATGTGTGGGGTGGGGGGGGGTCGAGGCCGCCCCCCCCCCCCCCCCCCCCGCGCCCTGAGCTTCAGGGGCGTAGAAAGTGAACATGGAACTGCAGTGTCCTTGTCACTGGGTGCACGGGGGGCCCCGAGGGGGGTCACTGGGGACAGTGCGGGGGGTCCAGGGGTGTCCACGTCCCTGTGCTGGGAGGTGGGGGGGGTGGTTGGGGTGCCTGGGGGATGTTATTGCCCCCTGGTGCAGGGGGGGGGTGAAGGGGGGCCCTGTGTGCAGTGCAGGGGGGGTGATGGGTGCCCCTGTGTGCAGTGCAGGGGGGGTGATGGGTGCCCCTGTGTGCAGTGCAGGGGGGTGCCCCTGATCCTGTGTGCAGTGCAGGGGGGGTGATGGGTGCCCCTGTGTGCAGTGCAGGGGGGTGCCCCTGACCCTGTGTGCAGTGCGGGGGGAGGGGGATGGGTGCCCCTGTGTGCAGTGCAGAGGGGGTGCCCCTGTCCCTATGTGCAGTGCAGGGGGGTGCCCGGGGCCCTGTGTGCAGTGAACGGGGGGGATGGGTGCCCCTGTGTGCAGTGCAGGGGGGGTGTCGGGGGGGGTGCCCCTGTCTCTGACCGCAGCACAGGGGGGTGCCGGACCAGGGGGTCAGGAACAGGCTGGTCCCTGGACAGGGGGGAGCCCCAGTGCAGCGCGGGAGGGTGCCCGGTTCAGCACGGGAGGGTTCGGGGGGTGCTCACGTTCCCCCTGAGGGCCCCGGGGGGGGGCGGTGTTTGTGTCCCCGGTGGAGCCCGGAGGGTGCCCCCTTCCCGGGGCGGGCCGGGGCGGGCCGCGGCCGCCTCTATAAAGGCGTCGGGGGCGGGAGCAGCGCGTCCCCTCCTGGCGGCGGCGCGGAGCGGAGCGGGCGGCGGTGCGGGCTGGGCTGCGGTACCGGGACCGGCGGGGCCGCGCCGGTGAGCGCCGGGCACCGGGGGCTCGGTGCGGGGCCGCAGCCGCTTGACCGCGCTTCCCCCCCCCCCTCCCCACCCCGGGCTCCCTCCGCCTCCCCCCCCCCCCCGGTTTTTCTCCCACCCCCCCCCCCTCTTTTCTCCCCGCAACGCCGCCCCCCGCCCCCCCCCCCCGCAGCAAGATGGTGCAGAAGAAATCGGAGATCCCGGGTTTCCACCGCTCCTTCAAGGTAAGGGGCTCCCCCCCCCCCGGGGTGTTCCGGGGGGCCGCATCCTGCTCCTGCAGCGCCGCAGTCCCTGCATGGGGGGGGGGGGCGTTGGCGAGACTCCCCCCCCCCCCGACCGAGGGAAGCTCCGGTGCTGCCCCAAGCGGGCAGCGGGACACCCCTGGCCCGGGGGTCCGGTCTGCAGCCACCCCCACCCTTCTGTGCCCAGGGTGGGTGCTGGGTGCTGCCGGCCCCATGGGGTGCGGGGAGGCTGGGGCTGCTCTGCCCCCATTCAGCCCGGTTTGGAAGCGGGGGGGTGCAGGGACCTGTTGTGCGAGGGCCAGGTCCTGGCAGCTCGGGCCTGGGTTGCGGCTGCAGCCGGGAGGGAGGGGGGGGGGTGCCGGGGTCCCCCCGACGCCTGTGCCCCGGTCGGGGGGGGTCTGATCCCGCTCCCCGAGCGCTCGCTCCTGTCCCGGCTTTTGGGATCTTTGTTCGGGTTTGGCTCCCGGCGCTCCGAGGGATGCTGGGAGGCCCCCCCCCCCCCCGAGCTCGGCTCCTTTGAGCCGAGGCCTCATCCTGCTCTCACGGCTTTAGGCCGGGGTTCGGCTCTGTCCGCACCCCCCCCCCCCCTCCGGCTTGTGGGGCTGGGGGCACCTCGGCTGTGGGGACGGAGCCGGTGCTCAGCGGCCGCCCCGCACCTCCCATCCCCCAAACCTTTTGTGTCGTTGCTGCAGGAGCTGCCAGGGCCCTGGGCCCCCCCCTTTTTCCCCTCCCAGCTCCCCCGAACCCCCCCCCCCCCGGTGCTCCCGGAGGGCCTCATCCTGCCCGTGCTGCCGGGCCCTGGGGGGCAGTGCTGTGCTCTGTAAATCCAGGCGGTTCTTGGCTGGGGGGGGGATGTTGGCAAACGGCCGGGCGGGAGCGTTCTGCCCCCAGGGTGATGCTCGGGGCGGTGGGGACCCCCCGAGAGCCGCCCCGGCTGTAAACGGGCACTTTGTGGCCGGGGTTGGCTGGGGCTGGCGGCGGGCCCGGGCACCGGGGCACCGGGGCGGGTTTGGGAACGCGGCCGGGAGCTGCCTCCTCCACCCAAACACATTGCGTAACCCTGGGGAGGATGGGGCCCGTCCCCCCCCCGGGGCTGCTCTGCCCCGTGGTGGGGCGGCGCGGGGGTCCCCGTGTCCCCTGTGGGGTGCTGGGACTGGAATTCCCAAGCCCATCGCCGATCCTGGGAGCAGGGAGGGTTTGGGGTCGGGACTGATGCTGCTGGTCCCGGCTGTCTCGCAGCCTGATGGGCACAGCGCTCACTGGAGCGGGGCTGAGCGGGCTCCAGCCCACTGTGACCTTGCAGGGAGCGGGGAGGACAGAGCCCATCCTGCCCCTGTGGCTTTTCTTCTCCCCCCCCTCGCTGTAGTTCAGGTCTGGGCGGAGAAATGGGGCTGGGTTGGTGCGGGCGGCCCCGATCCCTCTCCTCATCCCCGATCCCCCTCCTCATCCCCCCGTGTGCGGGCAGGACCACGCAGCGCTGTCCCCATCAGGAGATGTGGTCAGACCTTTCCTCCTCCTCCTCCTCCGGCTCTGCCGCGTGCCTCCAGCAGCACCATGACCTGGTGGCGCCCAGCACCCCACACCGATGGGGCGGGCGGGCAGGGTGTGTGCCAGGCTCCATGGGCTCAGCACTGGTGGCGCTGGATCCAGCGGCTCTGCCATCTCACTGCTGTTCTTGCCCCCCCAATGCCCAGGGACAAAACCCCTTTGACCTGGAGTTCGACCAATCCAACCACCTGGAGCCTGTCTTCAACTTCGAGTGCCCGCCCCGTCCCGGTGAGCTCCGGGTGCCCTCCCGGCATCTTCTTGGCTCTTTCAGCTCCCTCGAGGGTTTTGGGGTGCCGCAGGGGTGGCCGTGCTGGGGCAGCCATGGGCGGCCGGGGGTGACTCACAGCGGTGGCTTTGCTCCGGCCCAGACATGCCTTCGAGTCAACCCATCGATATCCCTGACGCCAAGAAAAGGAACAAGAAGAAGAAGCGCTGCAGAGCAACCGACAGCTTCTCCGGCAGGTTCGAAGGTGAGCGGGGAAGGGCTGGAGCCCTCCTGGTGCCCCCCGGTGCTGCTGTGGGGCCGGGAGCTCAGGCAGCCTCTCCCCTGCCAGATGTTTACCAGCTGCAGGAGGAGGTGCTGGGAGAAGGGGCCCACGCCAGAGTCCAGTCCTGTGTGAACCTCATCACCAACAAGGAGTACGCGGTGAAGGTAAAGCCCTGCTGCTGGGGGCCGCGTGCCCGGCTCCCTCCCACCCCCTGCCTCAGTTTCCCTTCCCAGCCTCCACATCTGGCTCCTGCAGCCACGCGGCGCTGGTGCAGGAGTGGCGAGGATGGGGCCGGGCTGGTGGCACCTCGGTCACCCCCTTGGCCACGCTCCTCTCTGTGAGGCAGGGCAGGCAGGAGGTGATATTGATGCCCGTGGCCCATGTGGGGACTCGGGGCAAGCAAGGGTGCGTGGTGCTGGTGGGGAGGCCACCTCCGTGTCCCTGCGAGCTTGTGGGGGCTGCAGGAGTGACCCAGCTGCGTTTGGGGTCAGGGGATGCTGGGCCCAGGGCCCTGCACCCCCCAGGCTCCCAGCCACGGTGCGAGGAGCTGGGATGGGCTCTGTGCCAAAACGCAGCCGAATCCAAAGGGATTGTGGCTTTGCCCGTGGCCCTGGGGAGCCTTTGGGTGCCCCCGTGGGGAAACTGAGGCAGCAGGGAGGGCTGCACGGCAGCTCTGGGGCTGGTGGCAGCACCCGGCTTTTCCTCTGTGAGGCTGTGTGTGGGGACCCCCTGCCCACCCCATGGCACCCCCATGGTGCAGGGCCCTTCTCCAGCCCCATGGCTCAGCGCCGGGCCAGCGTCACATGGACCTCGGCTTGGCTGTGGCCCGGGAGGGAGCGGCTTGGCAGCGCCGCCGGGAGCAGGGAACAGCCTGTTCTGCTGCCTTAACCCCTTCTGCTGCCTCAGCCGGCCCCAGCGCCGGCTCCATGGGTGCCATGAGGGGGTTGCCGGGCTCATTGGGTGCCATGCAGTGGGTGCCAGGCCCAGCAGCGGTGCTGCTCCCTGAGCATCCCCCTGTTTGCCTTTCAGATCATAGAGAAACGCCTGGGACACATCCGCAGCAGGGTCTTCAGGGAGGTGGAGATGCTGTATCAGTGCCAGGGACACAGGTACCGTGGGGCTGGGCTGGGCTAGAGACACCCGTGGGCTCCCTCCCCTTGGCCTCGGGAGCATCTCGGGGGGACATGAAGTGGTTTTGCCATGACAACGGGGGGCTGAGGCAGCCAAACTGGAGCTGAGCCCAGCCCAGCATGGCCCCGGTCTCGCTGCGCAGGGCGAGCGAGCCAGGAGGGTCTGTGAGCAATTAGGGCTGGGTGCTGAGAGCCCCTCTCCCCCCTTGGAATGCAGCCGGGGCCCCAACCAGTGTGGTTTCAATCACTGGCAGCCCGGTTTTGTTGTCCCACGTCCTCACCCTATGGGGCTGTGGCGGGTTTTGGGGGGCTGCTGGGCTGATGCCATTCATCCCTGCAGGAACGTCCTGGAGCTCATCGAGTTCTTTGAGGAAGAGGAGAGGTTTTACCTGGTGTTTGAGAAGATGAGAGGAGGTGAGCGTGGTGCTGGGGTTGGGGTTGGGGTTAGCAACAGGACCCCCCCTCCGAGCCCCTGCTCTGTTCTCACCTGGCCGCAGGCTCCATCCTGACCCACATCCACCGGCGACGCCACTTCAACGAGCTGGAGGCCAGCGTGGTGGTGCGGGACATCGCCAGCGCCCTGCACTTTTTGCACAACAAAGGTGAGCTGTGCCCCCCCTTCCATCATCCCCGCATCCTCCTGCCCAGGGGCTGCTGCTGGCCCTGGGCTCACAGGGTCAGGCCCAGCCGCATCACGAGGCGCTTGGTGCGGAGCCTGTTCCTCCGGTTCAGCTGGGACTCGGGGCCAGCAGCGATCCCTGCCCTTTGCCACGATGCAGGCAGTGATTTGGGGTGGGGAGGGAGGGTTCCCTGTGCCACCCCCAGACCTTTCAGCGTGGAGGGGGGTGGATTTTTGCCCTCATCCTCTCTTTTTTTTTGTTTCCCCTGCAGGAATTGCACACAGGGATCTAAAACCGGAAAATATTCTGTGTGAGAGCCTGGACCATGTGAGTGGGGAGCGGGTGGTGGGTCCCTGGGTGGGGGGGAGATGTGGTGCGTCCCCATGGGGCATCGCATGGGGGTGTAATGCATCCAGGCATTAACAGGCAGCTCATTAGGGGGTGACACAAGGCTGTGGACCCCCGGGGTCACCACTTCTCCTTCCCCGCCCCAAGGTCTCCCCAGTGAAGATCTGTGACTTTGACCTGGGAAGTGGCATCAAACTCAACGGCGACTGCTCCCCCATCTCCACCCCGGAGCTGCTCACCCCGGTAAGCACATGGGAGGGGGGGGGGCTTGGCAGTGGTCCCGGTGGGTCCCCCACGGGTACCCCCATAGGTCCTAGGGCACCCCCCCCAGGTACCCCCAGGCTTTGGGCACGGGGCTCATTCATCCCCCCCATCCCATCCCATTGCTCCGGGGGCTGACGCTGCGTGTCCCGGCCCCCCCTCCCCGCGGTGCCGAGCTGCGGTTGCATAATGCAGGGGTGGGGGGGGCCGGGGGGGGGCTGGCGCAGAGCCCGGGCTGCTGCGAGCCCTTAGCAACAGCCACGGCCCCGCGGCTGCGCCGAGGCTGCTGCAGGGAGAAGTGGGTCAGGAGAGGGGCTGGGGCTGCCGCTGTGATTGCCGGGTACGTGGGGGGCCAGGGGGCTCCCCCACACACACTGTGGGGTGCTGCTCGCTTGCAATGCGGGGTGGGTAGCCCAAAGCTTGTGGGGTGACCCCTCCATTGCACAGCTCTGT